AAAGTAGTAAAAGTTCCAAACCGGAAATCACTTTCACTTCTTGCTGAAAAGTATCAATCCAACGCCATTTTAAGTTCACTTCCCCTCAGTCCACCTCAAGTACAGGGAAGAACTTTATCCAAGTTAGAGTAAAGTCCAAGAAAGAAAGCAAACTTCCAGGGTCGGTTCGTCTGCTTACAGGAAAAAACTCACAGTTCTCCTTAAGTTGCAGCGGTGGCGGCGGCTTCTAGCTTCGCTAACGCGAAGGCGTCCTGGATCGCGGAGAAGCCCGGGGCTCCGGAGGAGTTCTCACCTACATCGTCCACAAGGGACGACTCGGGAACTCAACTCCTACCCCGGGTAGCTCACCTATCCCCCTCTGCCCAGGGGAAAGGTATCAAGCCGTTTGACAGCTGATGCTAGCTGTCAAAATGGCTTTTACGCAGAAACAGGCGGGAGGCAGCTACAGCTGCGTCCGACGAGGTCGCCTGCCACCGGAAGTCTCAGGCAAACAGAATTCTTATTTTCAACTGATTTCCAAATATTTTAAATTAGGTGACCAAAATTTCCCTTATCTCAACTTCTCCCTTTTTCCCTTTTCATACCAAAGTCTATTAGTCTTGTTACATCTTAGTTATTCAATTATAATGTTACTTTATTGTCTAAAAATTATCTATTTTCCACCATATTCAACCCTCTAATTAGTAATATGAAATCCCCTCTAATAAATCAAAATCCTAATTTTCTTCAGCCTTACTCTGGCTTTCTTCCTTTGCCAACTAGCCTTCCATGTCAGTGCTTTTAAATCATCAAATAGTTCTTCCTCTATTATTATATATATTATTTGAAATAAGAAAGGCCGTTTGGTTGCAGTTTTTTTGGAAGAACAAGCCCATTTGCATTCATTAGTTCACCTCCCTATTACTCCAATTTCCCACAATTGTCCTGATAGGTTTATCTTCCATTCAATCTGTTCTTCTTCTTTCTCCTTGAATTTCTTCTGATTTATGTAAAAAGTATTTTCCATTTTCAGTGTTGTCACTCCCTTTTCTGATTTTTCCGTTGGCTGGATCTGTTGGTCAATTGAGTCTTCTGTCTTAGTGTTTAGTTGTTCCACTTCTCCTGTTATTTTCTGCATTGTTAGTTCTTTAGTTGTAGTCAAGATCCTTTATGTTGCATCTTATTTTGTTACAAGCTGAAAGAATGGTTTCGTTTATTGATTTCAACATGGAAATGATTTTTTTTTTATCTTCATCCATAGTATTTTGATAGTGTATTAAGTTGAAGACTTTAGAATCAAACGTTAAAAATAGTTTTTTGTTTTTTATAACTGGGTATGGGACATCTATTTCACATGTTATAGGTGATCTTTATAGTGGAAATTGTTTGTCAAGTAAGAATTTATAGTCCAAGATATTCCAGCATCTCGTGTAATAACAAATGCTTCTCATGTAGAGAAATAGGAAAGCAATTGCCATGTATAGCTCTGAAAGTCAGTAAAGGTTTACATTCATAGTTCAAACAGGCCAGATATGCTGCCCAAAGTTCCTTCTTTTCAGCTGAGTTTTTCACAGGTGGTATCTGTCAAGGTCAGAATAGTTTTTTCTAGAATCTGGGCTTCAAGCCAAGTATCTTTTAGGCAATAACAAGTTGTAATACCATACTTCACCACAAGATGTCACCGATACCATTTAAAGCTTTTTAAGTCCAAAGTTTTTATGATAGTTTTTCAAGTTTTATTTCTTTTTTTTTTTAGATAAAAACAAATGTCTCCAGTAAGAATAGGAAAACTTTTAGTCCTCAACTTTCAAAAGCATATACATCCAATTAGATTAAAATTGTTCTTATAGTTGCTCTCCTGAGTAGGTAGTTGCCGCTTTTCTTAGAGGATGGGGTAGAAATTCCCTTCCCTCTCTCCTCACAGGGGAAAATACTTTGGGCAGCTTTTACAGGAAAAGATACTTAAAGTCTTAAAGAGAAGATCAGATCTCACCCAGTTTCATCCACATTGCTTTAAAGGTGCTTGGTGATAATTTTGACTTCAGCTGTTAGCAGTTTAGTGACGAGCCATATTGCTATGGCTAGTCTTTCTCCCGCCGGTTTGGAGAGCTGCCCTGGATCAAACGGAAGGGCCGTCACCCTCCCGTGATCAAGTGGGGGTCCCCTCCTTGCTCATCACCCCTACAGGGCGACTTTCGACCCTTTCCAGGGTCCCCCAGCGGGATGAATTCGGACGCGGAAGACGGAGCTCACCTTCCTACGTCTGCAGGCGCCGTGATGGCAAACCAGAAGTCCAAGAATATCTTCTTGATTATGTAGCATAGCTCTCTCAAGAGATCCTTGCAGTAACTTAATTCCCATATATTAAATTTTCTAGTTGAAACTGAATGTGGGCAGAAATGATCAACTATTGAGTGTGCAACGGTGTATCCAAGGAGGACCTGTAAGTAATCAGCTTTGTTTATATGAACCAAAATGCGCAACAAGTGCATGACATTGTCAGAAGATGTTTCCATAGGATGAGTTTCGTGTGTTCAACAATAAATGACAAAGATAAAACCAATTGATTTACTCAAAGAAATATATTTTGGTAGAATGTTAAAGAAAAGTAAATGCCTTTTATGAATGGGGAAGTTGATTGGAAAAGTATTAAAAGTGCAAAATGGGAATGTGTCAAATACAAGACAGTATGTACAATAAAACCATGAAAATAAAAATTATAGCAAGTAAAACACAGTGGCTGACTTATTAGATTTGACTAGACTAAAATCCCATTCAAGCAAAGAGCTGTGTTATTCTATAGTAATTAGTGCCCTTGACTAGGAATAAAGTTTCTATAGTATTTGACTCATCTTCAAAATTTGAGCTCATCGTGATAGCCCAGCTGCAAGGTGGATTGGGTTTGAGTTACTGTTACCACAACTACAACTGTTGTGCCAGCCAAAACTAAGGAATAGGTCCCCAGGCCACAGCCTCTACATGCTGATTTAGCAGGAATTGTCAACACCAAAGTTCCTTTCCCAACTCAAGGATTAACCTATTCTGGGAGATTGTGATCTTAGCAAGAACCATTAGGTTCAATGTTAACTACTCTGATGTTTATAAACACAAGCAAATATCTATTGTCATGGTTTGGATGTTGTTAGTTTGAGTTTGTTTCTCCCTATTTCAGACCCTAATTATCTCCAGAAGCCAGTACCACTGGACTTGGAAATTGGAATATACTGTATGAGACAGCCCATGGATGGTTGGATTGATGTATTGATTTATTGCCCATGGATCAGATGCTGGATCCCTCACTGTAACCATCCATTGGTGAATCAGAAGCAGCCATTTATGTATTTATTGGAGTGTTGTCAATATGTTTTTAAATTACTGTTTGACACCTACAATCATGATGTTGAAATGGATGACCATACAGATTGAAACAAGAAATAGAGTAGGCAAACAATGTTGATCAATATGTCAAAAAGTACTTTCAATGTTTAAACATTTTAGAAGTCTGTGATTTATAAATATTGCAATTAAATGCAAAATAGCCAAAAAATAATGAATCAATTTGGTAACAATAATTTTTAATGTTCTAATTCACAGCAGTTGTTGAAAGCCAGTAGATATTTAATTATGGCGCAAGATGTGGCCCAGCTAAACTGTTCTCAGAGAACGAATTTGCCATTCAGGTAAATGCGTCAGTAAAAATATTAAGGTTAATATAAATAAAATGAGGTCTAGCATTATAGAAATGTTCCTCCGTTTGTTTTTAAAGGTTTTCTTCTTTCTAAATAGAGACCATGAAGATAATAAATGCTAAATGTATTGAATTATTTATTGTGTAAATAATGTGTCACGTTGCATACTTTCCTTGTTAGAGCGCAATGAATCTTTTTTTTTAAAAAAAAAGAAAAATACAAATATAAACATAAACACAAGTATATAAACACAGTTATAAAACCCTACAGTATATCTCTGGGTAGTTTTGAGATTGCTTATCCATAGAGATTCTGCCCACCCAATTCAAGGGCACAAAGAGTGCCTACACCAATAGCTGAAGGTTCCCATTCTCAAGGGATCTGAAAGTGGGTATTCTCTTCAGGGACTCCCCTATTCTGGAGCAGCTTGGTCCCCAATGCAAGGGTAGCTTCCCTTCCCCTGTCCTTCTGGAGGGTCATAAGAATTTGGCAGATTTGAAAATCCTTGGGACTTAAGAACCTCCTGTTGCTAGAAATATTAATCCTAATTTTAAATCTACTTTTTTATTGCATTATTCTTACTGTATGTTACTATTACCAATGCATTAGCTGCAGCTGTTGCTTGTGTGTAGCGCTTAGAACAGACATGTGAAACACAAGGCCCGGGGGCCAGATGCAGCCCATGAAGTCGTTTCATGTGGCCCGCGAAGCCATCCTGGAAACAGTGAGGGAATGGCCCCCGCTGCCTTGGCCCTGGCCCAGGCTGGCCGGGAGCCAATGTACAATTTTGTGGTGGCCATCTATGCTGAAACGCATTCAGTCTTAGCTCCAAAAGGCCATCTAGAAACAGCGAGGAACCAGCCCCTGCTATGTCGGCCCCGCCCCCTGGGTGCATGCTGGGGAGGGGTCACCCTTTGTGAGGAATGAAGAAATGGACCATGCCTTGGCGCTTGCCCCGGTCCCACCCCCTTCTGCCAGAGACCCTCAGATCTGTCCCATTCCTGCCCAGGCTCCCACAGGCACCCTTGACATGAACAATGTAGAGCTGGCCATGCCCATCCAGTAGGCCACACCCACTCCATCCACACCCACCCAATAGGCCACACCCACCCAGCCCCCTGAGGGCAACCGCAATGCTGATGCGGCCCTCAATGGAATTGTGTTTGACACCCCTGGCTTAGAGTAATCTTGACTGAAATAGTTTACAAATTTATAAATAAAAAGATTTTAAAAAATTAAATACAGGGCGACAGTTAACAATGATATAATTATATCATTGGGCAAAACCATACGTGCGCCGCTAACATTCCAAAAATGTGCAGCAAATCAGCCTTTTTAATGAGGTCCTTGCTGAGCTTTGAGTTTGAGCAGTTAGGGAAATATTTCATGTGTATTGAATTGGATGAAACTTGTTAACTTCTGTATTGTATTGTAGTGATCAAAAAAATTTGTGTTTTGTGTTGTCTTATACTTTTTAAGGTATATAGACTTTTTTCATTTAGTACTCTTTTATAAATGTTCACTATAATGCATTTAAAAAAAATGTTTACTGCATTTGAACGTTCTCCTGTGGCTGTTAAATTATTTATAAATTATACTAACACGGATAACGGAACTAACCCTTCAATTTTCCAGATTGTATGAGCATACCCACGATCTTAGACTTTTCCTGTTCAATGATGTCCTTGTTATTTCACAACGCAACATCTCCTACAAGCCCTTTGAACGAATCCCCAAGGTCACTTACCAGTTTTTGGCTACAATAATGCTCCATCAGCTCCAGATTGAAGACATTCCAGATTCTAAATGTATGCTTTTCATTACTCTAAAATAGTAAAAAAAAAATGTTGAATGCACTCATAGAATTTTTTTTTAAATATATATTTTAATGACAGCAATAATATTGTTACAAAATCTCAGAGACATTCTCAGAATCAAACTATGTGATACCTGTGTATCTGGCAACTTCCTGCAATTTTCTTGACAAGATTTTCAGATGCGCTTTGCCCTTGTCTTCTTTTTAGGGCTGAGAAAGAGGGGCTGGCTCAGGGTAGCACAGCTGGCTTCCTGCCTAAGGAGGAATTAAAATTCCCAATCTTTTAGTTTCAAGTCTGATACCTTAACCACTGTACCAAACTGGCTCACTCTTCTTTATTACATACAACACTGCTTTTGAAAGTAGGCTTATTCTGACTTGAGCATTTAGGAAAGAAAGATCCTTGACTCAATTTTGAAGAGAAAGGTTTGCTTTTACCAAAGTCAAGCAGTTACAGAAGCAAAGCTGGATCTGACTATCCCCATGCAAACCCTGCATTTTTCCCTCTTCCCTGACCCTCCTGTTTTGACCACTCCATCAGTGTCCAATGATATTCAAACTAGATATTTTGGGAACGCCTTTGAGATTTGGCACCTTTTGGGTGGAATTTTGCATTCTGTCCTCACAGCTCTGTCCTTGATTGGCCAGTCTGTTCCAGATTGACACCTATGGTTCCTCCCACCCTACCATTTCCCCACCTACCTCTCCAATCTCGCCTTTCGCTGCGTTTTATGACAGAATGCCAGCGAAGCGGAGCATGCTGAAGATGGCAGAACCTGATGTTCTTGCAGGGTTTGTTTTTTTTATGTAGCAGGAGAAACTCTGTTTTAATGATCTCCAGCCCACTTGCCCAATGGGGGTGCAATTTCTGAAGTGTATTTGCTCACCTAAGAAACAAATTGGGAATTTGAGCCTCAGTTGAAGGTCAAGATGGCAATTTGTGGCAGTCTGCTTGAAGCTCCACACCCTTGTCTGCATGTCTGATGTTGATGCAGATACAAAACGGGTGGGACTTCGGTGATGCTTTCATGATGACCATCTTGACTTGAGTTTAATCACATCCTCCCTCCACACCGCCCCCACAGATACTGCTGATTGAGACTTAGGGTGGTGTTTCTTTGGTCAGCGAACAATGGAGCTGGCAGGAGATGCTTAATTCCCACTTCCTTGAAAAGACAGGATCCAGGGATTGCAAAAGCTATGCCCTTTAGGAAAAGGAAGACAGTATTTTGAGTGGATAAAAATAGTAATGCTCTGTTATGTTCATGAGGATGCAATATAAAAAAGCAGAGGTATTCTGTAACTCTCCTTGTGAAAAGCTTTTTGGGGAAAAAAAATGGGACCGGATTTTCTGCTTCACTTCAGATGCCCTGTTTTGTTTGCCTTCTCCATCGGCTGTGTACGGATAGTCCTCAATTTACAACCATTTGCTTAGCGACCGTTTTAAAGTTAAGTTACAAAGGCAATGAAGAAAAATGACATACAACCAGTCCTCGCACCTATGACCGTTGTAGCATCCGCATAGTTGCGTGATCAAAATTCGGGTGCTTGGCAACTGCCATGTATTTACAACTGTTGCGTCATCCTGGAGT